TGTCCATCTTCTGCAAGTCCGCGGCCAACAAACTCGTATGCGACTGCCGCGCCTGCAAATTACCTCCACATGATTTACAGACAATAATTAATCACTAAAAAATATTTATGAGCCAGGCTGGAGAACAGAACCCACCAATCCGTTTCTGCAAGCCATGCCTGCTAGCCTTAGTATCAGCATAATTTCGAATAATTACTCAAGAAAGAAGATTGATGAAGAGAAGGAAGGATGTAGATTTAACCTCGTGCAGGTGAAAAAGCTTTTGTGTGGCAGTTGCAGCAACTGAAATGATAAGTAACCAGTCATTTCAAGTGCATGTAGACTCTATTGTTCTTTGTTCATATAATAGATATTGCATCTAACCATGATCATATTAGGTAAAATGGATAAATCGCAGAAACTTCAAGCTACAACCCTAAAAAGTATACATACATTTTGCTAAAAGATTACAGATATTCTTGTGGCTGAGTTCTGGAGTTGCTATGCGTTTATTGACCTTGGCTTGCCGGCATGGAAGAGGGCCGATCCCTCGGCCTTCTCGAAGATGATGGGCGAGTTGGGGTTGAGGACCTGTAGCGGTCCAGTTTAATATTTAAGATTTTTGTATTAATAAATAAAAAAAATTTAGAAATTTAGAATTAGATTTAATTGTAATATTAAGATTTGTTTATATCTGAACGTAACCACAGCTGAATACGACAATAGCCAACTTCATTCCAGCTTTTAGTATTTTTGATACATTTCACTAGAACCTCTTATTAGAGTAAGTACTAATGTGTTGCAGCAGTCATCCTGTACTAATTACTTTGTTTAATAGATAATTTGATTTATACTGTTTATAATCGTTTCTATGTATTTGTATTTATGTAACTTGTAACAATCTGTTATTTATACAGGGTTCAATACTGAGACCAGAAAAAGCGTCTATTAATTCCCTCAATCCTGATCGTGAGATGCTTTAGACCCAAAGTCCAGCTTGCGGGGCTCCGACTTCTTGCCGCTTGCCATTGCGTCCATGTCCAACGCTGCACAATGTTATTTATTATATTCATTATAATAATTTATGTTTTGAGACCCTATGGATGTTTCAATCACAGCCAGTTGAAATAATGAAGTGTAATCCTGTACTTATAATCTAGCTGACAGGAACAAATGACAAACAAAACACACTGCTAGACAAAAAGTATGGAAACAAAAGCAGCCAACAAACCTCCTTGTTAAGCTCAAGAAGGATCTGCTTGCGCTGGATGAAGACAGCAACAATGCCTGCCGCCTGGTTAAACT